GGGGAGAAGCCGCTGGGGCTCCGCAGCTTGCCGGCTGCGCCGCGGGGGAAGGAGCGGGCCCGGGCGCCGGGCGGGCCGGGGCTGCCCTCCGGGAACGCGGGGAGGAGCGAGCGGGGCGGAGCGCTGTGCCGTGCCGCAAGCGGGAGCCGTGCGTTCGCCGGGCACAAAGATACTTGGGGCTCCCGGGTGGACGCGCAGCCTTGTGCCAAGCCCGGAGAAGCTGCCTGGAGACGGAGCGAGCCCGTGCCGCGCGGACGTCCCCCCCCGCCCCCGGAGCCGATGGAGGCGGGGGGGGGACGAGGACTAAACTCTTCCACTTCTGAGCCCTCCCCTGGGGGAGAACCCCCACTGCCCTGCGGGCACCGGGCATGGCCGCCGGGGGCTCCGTCCCGGCGGGAGAGGGGCTGCCCCGCGGCAGCACGCCGGGGGAGGCGGCGGCGCGGCTGCGAGCGGGGCCGGGCTGGCTGCCGGCAGGGCGCTCCCGGCCGTCCCCACCTACGCCCACCCCGTTGCCACTTGAGTTTTTCCAGTCGGCTGCCCCAGAGAGGGTGGGTGGGGGGAGGGGACGGAGCTTGCAAAACCCCCGAGTTTCATGGCAACAGCGAAGTTCCCTCCGCGTGAAAGAAAACTTTGGCAGAGGGTGTGCGAGTGGAGCGGAGCTCGCTGGAGCTGTCAATCACGGGCTTCCCTTTCCGTCCCTTCCCTCCCCTCCCCTTCCCCTTCCATCTTTCCTCCCTCCCTTCCCTCCTTCCCCAGAGGCACGGACACCCGCACCTGCACGGAGAGGGCTGGCAGCTCCTTGAAAGCACCGCGGGCACAGAGCTGCCCAGCCTGCCTCGCCCTGCCGCTGCGGGGCCGGGGAAGAGATGGGGCGCGCTGCTCTGTCCCGGCTCTTCCTCGTTCTCCCCCCGCGCTCAGCTCCAGCTCCGTCTGGGGAAGCCGGACGGGTCTCCCGGCCGGGGCGCGCTGGGGGACGAGAGGCGAACGGAGCCCGCAGTCTGCTCGGAGCCGCGCTGGGAGAGCCCCGGTGCCGGAGGAGGTGGGCAGCACCGCCGGTTCCGCCGGTGTAGCTCTGAGCAAACTGCCCCGGGGGCGCTGGGCAGGGTCGGGGGGCTTGAGGCAGGGACGTGTCTGGGCATCGCGTCCCTCGGGGGGCCCGGGGAGGAGGGATGCTCCCCCGGCTTGGCAGCCGTCGGTGGTGCCCCAAAGAGAAGACCGCGAGGATGACGACGGTAAATCGGTGCCGGGGGAGAGGACACCTCCAGTCAGGGCTTCAGGCTGGACCCGGAGGCACAGCCCAGGCCGGTGCCGTCAGCCCCGAGCCCGCTGCACTGCGGACGCCGGGGAGGGTGCTCCGGGCCGGGCCGGGCCGGGCCGGGAAGGCTGCAGCCGGGGCGGGGGACTGGACCGCTCCGCCCGGCACCGCGCAGCCCCGCTCAGCGCTGCCCGCGGTCGCGGGAGCCAAACGAGCGGGCTTAAAACGGCACTGGTGGTGCTCTGGGAACAGCACGGTGTGGTGGTGGGATTTTTATTTGAGTGGGTCTGAGCGCTACTGTGATTTAGCCGTTTAAGGCGTCACTCGTTTTGTGCGGATTTCTTTTTGGACAAAAATCATCTGTTGAACAGAGTCGAAGGGGAAAAGAAATAAATCACACTTGCGACGAGCTGTGGTGTAGTCGGCTTTTTGCCTTTGTTGTTGTTTGGTTTGCCGCTGCTGTGTTCTTGTGTGAAGTGAAAATTTTGCAGCCCGAGAGGACAGGGTGACAACGGAAGGTGTTGTTTCAGGCGGCATCACACTAGAAAGCAGACTTCGGGCGTAGTTCACTGGTAACTTTTGGAACATATTGGAAAAGCTTCACACAGCTGTAATTAACCTCAAACCCCTCCAAATACTTTGACCGCTCCAGTCGAGGTTTAAGTCGGGCTGGGCTCGGCTGGAAAGCAGATTGATTGATATATATCCTAACAATTCTTTGAAATGACTTTATATAAACGTTTGTTGGAGGAACACACTTGCATGCAACGAAAAATGAGGCGGTACACGGAATTAGAGGACATGCTGAAAGCCCTGTGAACGCTGTTTCCTTCCATGTTTAAATAAACATTACAACGTTGTTTCAGACCCTTACTTTGTCTTTCAATTTGTCGTTGCGCTGCCTGAGACTCCAATTACATGATTTTTTCCCAAAGGCCACGCTATTTAACTTTAAGATCCATATTATTTCAAAGCAAGACAACATTGTTCTTGAAACATCGCTAATCTCCCTGCAGAGGAACTGAACCTGACTGAATCAAAAAAGTAAGTAGAGATTCGTGTGGTCCCTGTAACGCTCCCACTGCACTAGGGTTTCCGTGCCGCACAGGTTCTGAGGAACGCTTAAGAATTGGGCTGATTTCTATTTCCAAAGAAGTGGTGAGCAGGGACGCGCTGCTCGAACCCCTCTGCCTCGGCGTTACTGATGGGTGCGCAGAGGAAACTCTCGGCAGGATGTCTTGAGCCATTTCAGCACCCGGGAGGAGAGCCAGAAGCCGGCTCCTCTCCCAGGCTCCGGCGGAGTCCCCGGCCCGGCCCGGTGCTTCACCTCGGCGCCCTATTTCCCCGCCCGGCGGGTGACACCCCCCGCCTCCTCCCCGCC